CTGCCATGATGGATATGCGCCGACACATTGCGCAGTTGTCATATTTGGCTTACGGTAGTATTCTTATTGTATATGATTTGCATGTAAAATTGCATACGATAATAATAATGGAGTTTTTCGCGATTTTTGAACAAAAAAAAATTCTTGAACATAAAATATCCACAAATGTAAGTAAATGCGTGAAAAAATACAGAATCACCGTTCACTCAGCGAAAAAATCATTCCATTTTACCGAAAGTCGACTTTCCCTCTGGAAAAAACCAAGATCTGACCCTTGACCCAGGTGAAAATTAAAAATTTTCATTGCGAATTTTCTCTCACTTCTGAGGGTTTCATTGGGGCAGTGTCTATTCACACGCTCCACGGTAACTTTGATCGTGGATATACGGGACGTTTTCCCGTGGATTCAAGGTACTTTCTACGAGTGTACGCTCTTGCACTCGAGCCTCGAAAAACATTCATATTTTGTCTGACATCTCTGTTATGAACTCTGGTTTCCAACTCTGAAACATATTTTGGAGGAAAAAACGTAAATTGATGAAAAATTAATTGCTTTAATAAGTAATGTGGAGTTTGGGTAAAATGCGACCTCTGAGTACCTCCATGTAGCTTAAAAGATTGCAGATTTCCTCAGTAATGAAATGCACTGGGATTGAGGGCCTTAGCTCCTTTAGTTTTCAAGAGATGTTCAATAAATGGAAGTGATCATCGATTAAGGCTCTTTTTTTGGTCTACGGCCTATGAGAGCCGTGAAAAACGCCGTGCCCGTGAAATGTCGGTATCAAATTTTACGCTTTTTCTAGGGTTTGGATAGTTTGTAAATTTCTTCAGGAATTTAATGCAATTGAGAGATTATGGGAAAACGAATATTGAAAAATTTCAACCGCAAAACAAAGAACTTGTTATTGTGAGGGGGTGAAAGGGTGAAAAAGTAATGTAATATTTTCACAAAAGCAGAACAATTTTTTTGTACAGTGTGATTGATCGGTCAGGTCCCCGTGACACACATCAGTGCGAGAGTGCTAACGGTACTTGCGATGACCTACTCCTGTATATTTTTCTGTCTCACTCCATCGACTCAAGAAACACCTTTGCATCTCACTAGCACTACTGTTCTTCCTTCGGTCAAACGAGTGTGTTTCACCTCTGTTCAAGAAAGAAAAAAAATGGTGGGAGTGAGAAGAGAAAGAGCTACTGTGAAATATATTGCACACACTTTTTCACTCTAAACGTACTGTCGCAATCATTCGTTTCTTGTTCTTCTTCATCTTCAGTAAAATTTTTAATTCTCTCGCTTCCTCACGTCCATATCACTGCGTCCCCTTCCTCTATTTTCCGAAGTAGCAATTGGACCGGGAAGAGGATTATAGGTGGTACCCAGTGATGAAAGCTTCCTCAGCCACTGCGGAAGTATTTCTGTCGGTTCGAAATCCACCGGTGCTTAAAATATTACATTTTATACTAGACGTCCGCATCTAATAGTGATTCTATTAGTCAACAAAGAGCAGTAGAAAAATTTTACTCACCCTCGACCTGAGAAAGTTAAAGGAAAAACGTCGTATAATTGTTCTTGATTACTATTATAAAGTGAGAATGAAGTGCGTAAGTTTTACAGTTTTTTTGGTAAGTGCATTTAATAATAGGGGAATTGCATTTTAATGGAATTACGCTAATGATTATTGCAAAGTTCATCACTTCACAAAGAAGCAAGTGAACGGAAGAAAAATACATATTTCTTTTTTTTCAATACCCGTCTTTGAATAATACTAATATCGTGCTACTATAAATGTCGCTTCTTTCTGAAATTTTACAATACAAATATCATTTCTCGTCAAAAATATAATTGAAAATGAATTTTGGTGATGGAGAAAAAATATTTCCATCATATACATATTTGACATTTTTTTTTAAGTAAATTTTTTTCCGCTTGCCACAATACTTAAGAACTTGACTATTTATTAACAAAAAATTGTTTTTCAGTGTTGACTCAATTCTGCACTTTTCTATTGTTCAAATTATATATACTGAATACAATGATATTCCATGATATGATGATAATGATTTGTCATGACGGTGATATAGTAGTAGTAGTAGTAGTAGTAGTAGTAGATAAAAAAATTGCAAGGTGGAAAAATTGATGGTTTGCAGTTGATATTGCTGTACGCTCTTTTCGGACAATTTGGTACTGGTGAATCAACAACTTTCAATTATGATGCGTCGTCTGCCTGCAGTAAGCCATATTTACGCAATGGTAGAGAGCATTATGAAAAACTCCCATGTGACTTTCGCCGACAGAATTGGTGTACAATTGCCGGTAGCAACTATCCATGGTATTTGAATAATAATAAATAATGACAAATATTTCACCAATAATTAATTACGCTCTCCATTATTTCAACTCGATTTCTAAAGTAATATTTTTTCAAAGGCATGCGGTTAGACGGTTTGTCTATGAGAACCAAGGATTGATGCGGCGGATGTATGGAGATGAAAAACATATTAATGTGCTTAAGAATGAACTTAAAAAAAATGACATCGAATTGGAATATGAAGAGAACTATCACAGATATTTTGATGATTTCCAGTGAGTTAAATTCCCAAATTCAAATTATGAATTATTTATTCATTGATTATTGTAATTACTCAACTGAATAATTCCAATATTCATGTTATGTAGCTACTACATAAGTGTATATTTTACGGATTATTTTATTTCATACCTTGTCATCAAATCGCGTTATATATAGTTTCATTATTCTCATCTCATTCTATATTTTTCCAATTTATACATAAAAATAAGGTTGATTAACGTGTTTTTCAAAAAAATTTCATGTGTCTAAATTTTATTTCTTTTCTTTTCTAGACGATCTATGCATGACGATCAATATGATTTTGAAAGATATGAAGAGGAGAAAATTAATGAATATCGAGGTCGGGCATTTACCAGTGAATTACCAAAACGTCGGGCATTTACGCGATTCTCCTTCAATCCAACAGAAACAACTATCACTAGTAGTAGTAGCAGTAGTAGTAGTAGTAGTAGTAGTAGTAGTAGTAATAGTAGTAATAGCATTAATAGTAGTAGTAGTAGTAGTAGTAGTAGTACTGCTGGTAGTACGACTTCTCACACGTCGCCTTTTCCGACCGAATTTGATTTTCCAGCTTCGGAAACAATGACAGATACAACTTCAACAACTATGAAATCTTTGAGAAAGTCTGTCATTGATTTAAATGAAACTCGAGACAAATTTATTGAAAAATCATCAACAATATCAGGAGTAACTTTGTCGGAAATAGCTCGAGTCAAAAACTCGAGTTTTAATGAAATCCCTGCAATGCTGAAAACGGTTAAAGAAAATATTTCAGACAGCACCGTAACCGAATGGCCCAGTGAAGTGGAAACAGTACATGCCGCAACTATTTTAGAAACAAATGGAACCACACGACTACCAACTGTTTCTTCGATCGATCGAACGGACCAACTCTCTACGGGGGAAAATAAAAAACAGTCATCTTCGGATGGGAATCAACAACAATTCCGACCGCGTCCAGAGTATCATCTGCCTGAAACAACCCAGCTGGACAGTTCAAATGTTGAGGGGCAACTTTTTCAAGACTTTGTTGTTAAAGATCAGCAAGAACAACCAGTTCTCAAACTTCGTGGAGTGTAAGTTTCTCATATGATTAGTATTGACAATCGTCATTTATACATTGCGATGATGATTTTTTTCTTTTTTACTTTCAGAAATGCTTGTCCAGTGAAGGATGAAGTAGTCGCTCCATTCTGGGCGAATAATACAAAAGGTGAAATACTCGCTTTACTCAATCTATATCCCTTTGAACAATTTCTTCATTGGGAAAAATGCACGTAAGTCCAATTGTATAGCTCATCGATTTTATTTTCCATTTTGTTATTAAGAGAATTGTGATGAAATATAATTCCAATTTTAGTATTGCAATATTATCAGGATCTGCTGATGGTCTGAACATTGTTGCAAAGTATCTTTATAAATATATTAATATTATATTGTGGAATAGAGACATTAATGTTTTCTATTTGATTTTTTTTCTTTCCATTCTTTTTATTTTTATAGAGATGAGAATAAACAAATGTACTGTCGTGAGGGCTGTAAATGCGAGCAGCAATACCGACTCTACCGGCTTCTTGCTTATGATCCAAACAATGAATGTCGTGGTATCTTCAGCGATTGGTTTAAATTTCCAAGCTGCTGTGTTTGCCGCTGTTATGATCTTCCAATTGAGTTCCGCGTAACATCAAGGTCGCCTCGAGCTCATAAACAAACTCTCAAGATACGTCAACCCGGCCGTCGATGATTTTTATTTCCGTTGTGAGTAAAAAAAGAATGCAAACATTCAAGGCTAGTGAATTGAAAAAAAAAAAAAAAAAAAAAACACTGCTAATGTTATATTTATATGTCACTCATCGTTTATTGAAATATATCGTCTGAAATAACACTATATACATTTAAATAACTTAACGTCGGTTTTATCAGAATTAGTTGGTGCATTATAGCACAAACTGCCATATTCAAAGTCCATGGAATCAACTGTCATTTATTAATTTATTGATTGATTGATTGATTGATTGATTCATTCATTCATTCATTCATTCTTTCAGTCATGTTTTTATTTGATTTATTTATTTTTTTCAATAACTATATGGAGGTCTTATAATATATGCATTGGAGTATAATTCACAAGTAGTGAGTTGAAATATTTGGTAGAGGAACCGTTTTAGGAAGAGAAAACATTAAAAGATTAATAAAAGGTTAATGAATATTCGATTCCATGTTCGTGTTTTGCTCAGCCAAAATATCGAATCTTAACTGTTACCATCACTTGATGATGGAAAACTGAAGATGTACCTCTTTGAAATAGTTTCTATTCTATTCTATTCATCCTATGTGAAATAGTAACGTTGTTCAATATTATACAGTTATATATCGAGATGAAAAAGAGGTATAGCGATGAATATAAAATTTACAGGCAGTTATTGTTTCTATAAATCATATACCAATGGTGGACTAATAATGAACAGGAAAGGCATGACAAAATTTTACTTATTGCGAATTGCAAACATCCAATATTTTCATAAAAAATATAGAAGCGAGTTCAGAATAATTTGCGATTATCTTATGAATTACGAAACAATGTTCATTATTTTTGTAGTGTATTATTAGAAAATATTTAATCTCTCTTTCGTCTTGTAACATTGACGATTGAAAATAGTCAACTTATAAATTTCAATTGCCATTTTATAATGACCACAACGTTTTATTTTTGAGTGAGCAAGAACATTTATAATACTCTGAGAACCTGCTGCTGGTCCCTACCAATGTACAAGTTAACAATGAAAAAAAAAACTCCAATTAACGAACTCAATTACCCATGCTCTCTCCATTATATTCTCCTTTTTCCTCTATTCCATCAGCCATCATAAAAGGAAAAAATTCTCCGATTGTCGCCTCGTTATTCACCCGCAAGGTGATAGTACAAAGACAAGTATTATGACAAATTGCCGTTTGGCCAATTTGTTTGAAGAAATTAAAGAATGAAGAGAGTTTGGTGTGATTCACCTTCCCTCAATCATTAAATTATCTTTTTGTTTTGTTATCAATTAGGTATTATCAATTAATCATCAAAGTGCACGACCATGTATGTCTTGACCTTAGTTTTGAATAACGAGAATAATATATTTTGAATTCTGAAGCGATATGTATTACTTCAATACCAGGGAGATTAATTTCTTCAATCACTACTTACGTATTTCATTTCATACAACATCATCACTTAGCACGAGCACAAAGATATATTTGAAAAAAAAAAAAAGTATTGAGTTAATTCCTAATGAGAGTATCTAAAGACTTCTGCAACTCTTCTCATGACTCCATAGCTAACGAATATGTAATCACGCTAGCTTTAAAAAAGGATTCAAATACAAGTAGGTCAGTGTGGAATTGAGTTTCAAACAAGTGGTAGCGAAACGGCACCGTTTGATAATCCAAGTATCCACCAAAAATTGATCAACATTTATATTGTACGATAACAAACTGAATATCCATCTATAGATATTCCATTCACCGCTTAGATGGAAAAATTTTTTCAAAAACCATTCTAGTACAGTTAATCTTGTTGAATACATAATATAATATTGTTTTGGTTGATATATTGCAAAAGGTAGTAGGTAAATTGATAGAAAAATTTATTACTAAATAACTGATTGGTCGTGATTATTAATTATAATAACGGGAAATTTCTCACGATATGTTGAAGCAGTATTTATGTATCACAGTGATGTGATTGATATTAACATCGAAATCACGTTTTTATTGAATTATTATTATTCACGCGTCTTGCATTGCATTAGGAGCAGGCATGTAAATGATGGGGAATACGTATGTATAATGCGAGGATTGAAAAATGGTCCCATTATTCTCATTTTAACTGTGTAAGATAAAATGCTTTTTTTTGTGTAGTCGCCGGGATGTCATATAGAATCTCCACACTAATACCAACATGTATACACATGCTCCTGTTGTCTGTCTCCACTAGCCCATTCTAAAAAGAAGGAAAAATTAATGTATGCAGACCCCACTGAGGGCCACACGACATTTAATTAATCACATTTTCTTCTTCATGATTTCGACTTTTCTTTTCTTTATAAAAATGTAATTTTTATCGATAAATAACAAAGTGAGTGTACATCCTTCACATTTCTTCATACTTGTACAGTTTATGTTCTTAATTTTTGGTCTCAGTGATTAAACTTATGCCTAAATATTGTCTCTCATTAGAAAGTTATGAAAATCCATCATTAGTGTGTATGAAAATTGCATTTTTTTTTTTTGTTTTCAACGGAACAACAATAGACGTATTTTTTCATTGCTCTAGTTAAAAAATAATAAATAGAGAGAAAAAAAAACAGCCTTCAAAGGCATTGATCCCACAATAAAACTAGTTTTTTTTTCCTTCCATATAAAGTCTTTTGAATTATAGAAACTTCTCTTGATTGAAAGAAATCATATATTACATCTACGCTCAATTGGTTGAAATCAATTATATAAATAATATACATGTATAAGTATCTATTTATTGGGATACGACTCAAGCATACCCATTTATGGTGATACTTGTGGAAAGAAAATTTTTTTTTTCCCCTTAATGCTGTTGAAGCAGCTCCTGAATGTCGATTATTATTTATTCCCTTTTTTCTTCATTGTCGAAAAAAAAAATGTAGCAGCTAGTTCCATCACGCGATAGATAAAAATCTGAGAACGACTTGAAAATATCGGACTTTTTTCTTTTTAAAATAATGTAATGTATAAACTTAAACCACGTTAATAAAAGCTCCACTTGGACTGTATTTTACTGTATTTAAAAGGTACTCTCATCGCGATTGTGATGACAATCATTACAAATTTCCAGCAGCAAAGTATTTTGAAGCATAAAACCCAATGACCAGAATGCCTGGGCAATATTGCTCTCACTCTCGTTAAAGTTGTATATTTAGAATATAATAATGAGGGCTCCCCTAGTGGATTTAGATTGATTTCCACTGCGGCTTATGAGGGCCCCCCCTTGGATGTCAGGGTGGACCTCGAGGCACCCATAATGCTTTACTCTGCTCGCAATCAACAGCAGCTTTGACTTGAGTGCAGATATAGGCTACATTGACCCCAGCATGAATAATATCAGAAATATAGTGTTTGTACTCAGCTTCAATTTTGAGCGATTGCTCATGCATTTCTTTAGCAGCTTTGGCACTTATTTTATCACTTGGATATCGGGAGTCTTTGACTTCTTTAATTTGTTTGACACTTTTAAATTTAATGAGGAGTACTATCGGATATATCTGATGCCTATGAAGCCGTTCAATCGACGCAATTGATACGTCCAAAATACAGTGTGAATTCTGAAAATGAGAGTTGACGTATATAAGAACAAGAACAACAACAACAAAAATATATTTTTTGGGGAGGGGGGTAAAGGAAGAGAAAATGAAAAATAATACTAATAATAATTAAATGATTAAAATATACCTTAGCACATACGTCTTTGACGGCTTGAACAGTGGTGCACTCAAAATAACTTCCTTTTTTACGATAATCAACATAAAGAGAATCTCTCAATCCTTGTTCCAAGGTAGCTTGAGAGCAGTGCATAGCTTCAGGAAGGCATCTTGTAAAATCGCCAGGACAATCCTGCAAGAGTTTAGTGGCTACACATTCACTGAGAGGTCCAATGATCAAAACTGGCCTCAATGTTGGATAATCAAGTCTCTCAACTCGCTGATAACTGGCAGGTAAATTTTCCTCATTCAATGTTCCACTATCACTGTACCAACCGAGACTGACTCCAGTGAGTGTAGAGAGCTCCTTACTATCTCTACTAGATGATCTATGATGTTTCTTTCTCCGAAAGAAGCTCCTTCGCGCACTAGTCGTTCCACGTTTTCCAGTATCTGTCTCCAAATCACCAAGGGATCTCCTTAATAGTAGTTCTTCTTCAATTTTAAATTTTGACGGTATTATTCCACACTGCTGACGTCTACCAGCCTGATCGACCAGCCATGCTCTCCAGTGACCCGGTGTACCATTGAACATTGTATTATCAACATAAAGTACATCGTCTTTATTAAATCGTAATTGCAAACTATCTCCAACTTCACCGACACGATCAAACATTGCTTTAACATAAAAACTATCACCAGGTTTGTCTTTGACTTCATTGTAACGTTCTGGCATGTATTGAGCAACTAGAGTCACTTTATCAGCGGGCCTAGCTAATTCTAAAGCGGCCTGTTCTGCTGTTGCTTGTCTTAAATCAACACCATTATATTCAAGTATTCTATCACCAGATCTCAATCCTGCATCTTCAGCCAAACAGCCTGGTTGAACAGAATGAACAAAAATTCCGACACCATTACCACCCACTAATGATATGCCTAAATTTGAGCATTTACGAGTTTCTATAAATAGATATCGAGGCTCAATGGTGGGAGGGCTTTTTCTACTTTGTTCCTCTTGTGTTGGACTTCTAACTGTTGCATTTTGACGTTGCAAAGTGGTTACTGCTTGATTCATTTGTGCTCGCGTTAGTGTTAATGCTCCCCGTATAGAGTCTATAGTAGCGGAATTTCTAAGCTCTGGTTTCCTAATATTGATATCAAGTGATGCTGAATTACGAATTTCTCTCGCTCGTTCTTGGGTATCTCGCACCTCCATTGAAGCAGAAGTTCGCACCTCACGTTCACGAATGACTGGTGGCAGAGTCAGAGTAGTTTTGCCTGTTGTTGTTGCTGCTGCTGCTGCTACTGCTGTTGCTACTGCTGCTGCATCTCTTTCTGGTTCCGAAGTTTCATGATGTTCAAGACTTGATTTCCTAGGTGCCTCAGGACTATTGCATGGAGTTGGTGAACCACTATGACTTCCATCTGCGCCTGCACCAGGTTCTGGAGAACTTGATGAGCCTGTGCCTTGAAGCTCGTTGTATTCTATATATTTGAAAGAGAATTTGGGAAAAAAAAAAATAGAATTAATAATAATAATAAGAATAATAATATTAATAAACAATAATAAATAAATGTTAGTGGAGTATTATTATTATTATTATTATTATTATTATTATAAATAAGAATAATAATTAAGTCTAATGATAATAATGGAAGGGGCTCTTTGGCAGGAGCCGTTTTGACATGTGCAAAAATACTCACTATGTGGATTGTACTGGACTTGCATTGTAATAGCGCCAGTACGTGCATCCCTAAGTACTTTGGCAGCACTTGGATAATCAGCAGTTCTTAGATTGATGCCACAAACATCTAGTAATTGATCGCCAATCTGCAAACCAACTTTGCTAGCCAGTGAATTTTCACTGACTGCTGAAACGAAGACACCTTTCTTCTCAAGGCAAAAAATTCGTATTCCCAGAGGTTCAACAGATTTATCAATTTTCAATCTTCGAATTTCTCCAGGTAAAGGAGTAAAAGTATCATCCCCAGTACTTGTCATACCAGTTGTAGAGCTCAATACTTCGAGCCTAAAAGTATTTGACATTGGACTACCCCTTTCAGATGTTCGTTCAATGCTTCCCGTCGAGAGTTTTCCAACACTGCTTTTGGAAACAACACTTGGATTCGATGGTATCCTGAACCTCTGATTTTCCTTTTTTCTTGGAAATGTACCACCCTCATACCAATAACCTGGTGGTGTATAGGCATTGGGTACATCATAAGCAGTACCAACTGGATGTCCTCTCAATTTTTGATAAGGTGAGTCTACAGAGGGAGTGTGCAAGTGGCCAAATGCCTGGCTATGGCTAGAGTGATTATTATATGGGGGCTCGAAACACCAGGAACGATCGGAAAGTCCAATAGACTCACCTGATTGTGATCCTAGGGGTAGTGATGGTGGTGAGGGATAGCGTGAAGGTAAGGAATTTTGCTGATGAGGATGTGGATGTGAGTGTGTAAGTGTATAAGGGGGAAATGAAAAATTACCAGACAATTGTTGTTGTCTTGGAGCTGTTGCCAATGAGGCTGAAGTGTTGTTAATAGATATAGCAGCAAGTGGATAGAGTTGCGAGTGTGCACGATTATGCTGTAGTGTTGGTTGATCTGGTTGACTTTCATTACTTCCATACTGTCTAAGACGCCTTTTTTGTGGATGGCTATAGTCATTATTGGCTGATTTAACTGAATAATCAATGCTACTCTCGGATGGAGCTTGACTCGAACTCAGACGCCCTGACTCAACTGGTTCAAATTCTGCACTCGCTGGTTTTTTCTCCAATGAAGCAATATCCTTGAATTGAATTACACCTGGTGTAAATGATTTATGTCCAAATAGTTGACCTGATTTACTGAATGACACTGGGCTTTCCATAGCTTTATAAACAGTATGACGATTGCTTACATTTGAAAAATTACCCAATGGAATTGGATTTGATATTCTGTTGTAGTTATAGCTCTCGTATTTCGGTGGATGATTAATAAGAACACTCAGTGGTAATCTCTCCTTTGTTTTTCGTGGATGTAAAATTGTTCCAGTACCATTTTGAATGAGTGGACCCCCTCGAACTTTTGGCCATGTACCACCATCTTTTTCCATTTTTTCAGTACCTCTCAATTTATTTCTCTTTAATACACTATTATTTGCAATGTTTATTGATGTTGATAAAGGTGCCGTTGAAGTTGCCGTTGTAATCATTGGCATTGTCATTGTTGTAATTGGTGGCGTTGCTGCTGCTGCTACTGTCCCTGCCCCTATAGCTACCGTTGTTGTTGTTGCTGTTGTTGTTGTTGTAATTGTCTTTTTTTGATGATAACTTTCAATTACTGAATCCAATTCAGCTATTGCATCTTGCTCCTGTTCAAATGTATTTGGGCTAGAATTTCTGTGACGCTGTTTTTTCTTATCATCACGATCTTTACTGTGCCTTCTACCTCTGACAATATCAATTTTTTCACGTATATTATCCCACGCATGACTAATACCACTTGGTTTATCACCACTAATTGATTTTGACACTTTATATATACTTCTTTCATTGAAATTTGATGCCATATAGCGACGTTCATAATCATCAGATGTTGCTTTTAACATGATACGTTCTTGCTCAGTTTGTGAACAATTGTTAACCATTTTTTGACTCTTATTATTACTATCTGTTCCATAAATCACACCAGTATCAGGCATTGTTTCTGAGCTTGAAGCCAATGATAATGGAATTCCTTTGAGTGTTGTTATTGTCAATACATCAGCAATACAATCATTCAATAAGCTCATTGCTTCATGAGCTGATGTAACACTATCCATTGGTTTACTATTGATATTTAATACACGATCGCCAACTGATAAATTGCCATCTTTAGCGGCTGAACTACCTGGAGATATTTTTGATATATAAATACCAAGTTCCAAGGCAATGCCATGAGGTATAGTATCGCCAATAGGTAATTGAGTAGTTCTCAGGTATCGTCGTGTTGATCGTTTACGACGAACAGTCACTGTTGCTGAGCCAACGGTACATGCACGAAGTGTTTCAAGAATCATTCTAGTTGATACTGAAGTGCAGTCTACATTGTTGACACGAATTATACAGTCATTTACTCTCAATTTTCCACCAACAATACTTCCGTCATTAATCTGTGCAACATAAACCCCTGTATCATTTGGATAATAAGGATCTTGACGTCCACCAATTAAAACCAAACCCAAATCACGATCTGTATCTTGACACAATCTACTGAGATCCAAGTGTATTGTTATTACATCCCATTCGTTGGAATTATTATCTTCATGATGGCCATAAATACTGGATGATCGTGTTAATAAATCACTCTCAATCATTTCTTTGAGATCTTTAAGTTCCTTTGAAGCTTCATTCCTTTGTTTCTTTATATCATCAGAATCTCTAATCGCACTTGCAAATTCTGAAACCGCTCTATCCCTCTCTTTTCTCAATCTATCGCAATTTGATCTTAGAGCCTCTCTTTCTAGTACTATTTTGTCACGTTCACTGAATGCCCAATCTCGACGACGTTTTGATACCTCAGCTTCTTGAATAGCTTCTTCGAGTTCCCCTTGAACAGCCTCAACTTGCTTTCTAAGTCTATCAATTTCCAAATTTGCCTGATCCAAATCATCCATCCTCTCTTTTTCACGTTTCGAATAGTCCCGAATAGTATTTACTTCACATTCTGTTTCCTTTGATGAATTTATCCGTTCACGATTGTACGAATGTATTTCCAATCGATTTTTATAATCTCTACTAGCAACCTCCGAATAATCACCAAATTTCTGACGCAGTACATTACACTCTTTGAATGCTTCATCCCGATCTAAAAGTGCTGATGAAATTTCACGACGCAGCGTCTCAATTTGATAGGACAATGTTTTTTTCTGTAATTATTATTATTATTATTATTATTATTATTATTACTATTATAACAAAATGAACAATTTTTATTCATCATTTTTTCACTTACTCCATCTGCCAATTGTTTGTTTTGATTTTCCAAATGAGTTATTTTAGCATATGCCTGAGATAGGTCATCACCCAATTTTTCCATTTCCTTATGTACTGTATCACGTTCCCCCATTATTAAAGTATACTCATGGAGTGCTGCATTCCTCTCTTCTGTCAGTCGTTTCATATCTTTGCTTGTTTTCATCCGTAACATCATTGCTTGATTGATTTCTTTCACAGCATCTTCATGTTGCTGCTGTACTTTGGATAATGCTTCACGATACTCATTGCGTTCTCGCATTGCTATGTCCCACTGCCTTATTGCCGATGTACACTGCTGTTTCAAGCCATTTTTCTCCCTAAATGCTGCATTTCTTTCTTGAATTGCCTCTTCATATTGTTTTTTGAATCGTGCTACTTCTTCATGTGCCAACTCCAACTACGAGATAAATAACACAATATTGTGAGTTGATACTTGTAATTTTTCATACATTTTGCATTGCATTACATTTTTTCAACAAGTCCATGACCAACACTAGTGATAATAGTGGCAAACTTGTACGACAACTATATTATTTTCAATAATAATAATAATAATAATAATAATAATAATAATAATAATAATAATAATAATAGTAATACTCGATTGATATTGCTAATTGTCATCCGTGACGCATTACTCAGATGAAATTATTTTCTATACCTTATTAACAGCGGATGAATGTGAAGACAACAAATCATCATATCGTTTTTTAAGCGAATCATACCCATCCTCAATTGCCTTATATTTCCTTAGAGCTGATAGATAATGCTGATTTATAGTATCATTCTTGCCACTATTAGCAACTAGTACATCTTGATTTTGGCACCTCAATTCTGATACCTCTTTTTGAAGAGCCTGAACTTCACGATCCAGCCGCTGTTTATCGCTGACAAGATCACCATATGTGCCCAGCAGAGCTGAGCTCTCTTGTGAGGTTGCTTCCAGTTGATTCATTGCAACAATATGCTGACCGCAGTAGTACTCCAATTCTTTCATAGTGTGATCACATCTGCAACGATAAACTTGATTTGAAAAAATTATTCATCATTACCGTCCTTTTGAAAATCATTTTCCAATAATACGTACGTGACAATTATATACATATATAAAAAGAAATCAATACCTCGATGGCAGTTTATATTCACCGATAGTGCGGAGCAGATTTAAAAAGAAAAAAAAAAAAAGTGCCCCATCAGTTATGAGTTAAACATGTGGAAAACCTAATAACACGGTTCGGGGATGAGGGAAACGACTACGCCACATGTTATTGTTGGATAAAAAAAAATAACAATAAAAATAAAATGAATTGAAAATCAGGTCAACCGATCTGATCGATGGCTCAACTGAGTGTGAATTGGAAAGCATGAGAGAGTAAAGAAAAACAGGTGCAATATTAATTGAAGGAGAATTATTTATAGAATAACAAGAAAAAATAAAATAATTTTGTGGAGAAATATTGAAAAAATGAATAAATAAATAAAATAAAAAAAGAAGAAAAACACAAACCGTCTCATTGAATCCGAGTGCTTATGTCTAATGAGCATTGGGTGTAAAGTTTGATCACGTTGCAAGCCATCATAGTCGTTACGACAATCGGGACCACCTACTGCACTCTCAACACTGCCGTATCCTCCATTATCCCGTTCTGAATGCCAGCAGCAATAATAATCCGTGCAAAATGACAGTTTAACAAAACATGAAAAAAAATGTGAAATAAAAAATCCAATAGGAAAATAAATCTTTTAAAATTAATAAAAAGAGCAAGAGATAAAAACATTCGTTTCCTTCATAAAATCATGTATTGCAGAAGCTTACCCATGTGAAGTGCCCCATCTGTAAAAAATAATTAATAATAATAATAAAAGCTATCAGACAAGACAAGAAAAAATACATATTTTACAACAACAATTGTGCGACACTGCAATCAATACTGAACGACTTGTGAATGCTCATTGTTGTTTTAGCTTTCACTGCGAAAAGAAACTCTTAATCATACTTGCGTTAGCACCGAGAGAGCGCTTTCACAATTTATAAGTTATGTGTGATAATAATAATTATTATACAAATAATGGTGAAAAGTGTCTAGAAAATAAATTGGAGAAATATGGCGAATGATACGCACCACTGCTAACAGCACTGTCCAAAGATGATGCTTCTGATGCCATTTTTGCTCTTTCTCTGGAACACCCTGTATTCTTTTTACAAATTCGTATGGTCATCTACCACTAGTATTTTTCCACCGACCCATTTTTCCTGAAAGTCAATACAACCAATATAACCTTGATTTTTTTGCTTGATAAAAAATATGAATATACGTATATTTTTTCGGGTTCATTTTTTCACTTGATGCCCAAAAGGAACGATTATAAAAACATTGGAGATAAGGCGGTTTTGTAAAGATTATTAACATAGGTATTATATATACTTTTTTTCTCATTTGCCGTCAGAGTGAATGAACAAATGATCATAATATCAATCACAAGTCAATTCTCAAAAGTAGGTACTTGGATATACAGTATGTACTCTTGATATCACGAGTCAACTTTATGCCATCGTTCAATGACTAATGTTTTTCGAAAAGATTGTAACTTTGAGAGTCTAGTATTATGTATATTCCGACCGACGATCGGTTTATGATGACGTGTATCATTGTTTTGAGGATTTAAAAAAATATAATTAGTCAAGAGTGATGCAAGTTTTGGTAATAAAAGTGATATTCCCTGCATAAGAAAAAAAAAATGGTGTGAAATACAATCAACACTTGATGAAACGATAAATTGCGTGCATTGGATGCGCGCAAGTGCTGAACCCTATCAATTTTTAAAAATGTTTTCTACAAGTAACTAAAAACTTGAAGTAAACATTTGTAGTTTGTGTAAAGGAAAAAAAGACTTTTAATAGCCTTAATTCGACTACATACTGTGATTGGGAAAAATGTCATTGCACGACTGTGTCTCACCTGGTGCACCAACGAGACTGACAACTCGCCATTTTCATCGGTTGCTCACAGATCTGGACAATGTATTAGGTCGATGTAGGACCAAAGAAATACAAGTTTTTCCCTTTCAATCTTGTTTTTCCTATTTTCTCACCGTTATGCAGTCTCCTGTGTGACGACTTTACACTTTGGAATCTATAGCTTTCTTTTTTTCTTTTACACTACGCATTGTTAAACATAATATAGGTTACATATTCCTTAAGAGCGCAGAGCTCGGACTGATCAACAGGCCAACAGTGGGGCTGAGTGGGGCTTCCGTACACGACACTCTGCCATATCCCCCCCCCCCACCCCCCTTTCCCATTTCTAAGCACACAACACACACACCAAGTCAACGGATAATACTTGCCAACGTATTTTCTTTCGATTTGTGTGGTAGCTCTGTAGTCTTTAGCAGCTATATAGAAGTTATAATAGTAACTCGCTGCTCGCCTGCTCGGTGAATGAGGGAGGGTGCCAGCAGTAAAAATTCCAACATTGAATATTCACACTTGGATCGATTATATTCTTCAACAAAGAATACTGGCATCCTTCAAGGGAAAATATTCCTTGTTAGAATTTAATTTTTCCAAGATTATTTCATGTTGGACACACTTTGTTTTAAGAAATTAAGAATATGGAGAATAGGGAGAAATATTATATAGATGGTGAGCAAGAAAAGGGGTGGTATATGTACATTTTTCATTTTTTATTTTTTCAAATTAGTATCTGCATAAAAAATTTACATTGTTATACATGTTTTATTAGACTAATTTATTTGAATAAGTTTTTCATTGACATATTCCAAGGTTCTCGCTCCCCTATAGTTGTAATGAGCATTCTCTCTTTGAACTGTGTTGTCCATGAAAACGGAATGAAACAATAAATTGACTGATGATATTAATAACTACATACATGTAGCTTTTTAAATTAAACTTTGGTATTTGTTATATTATAAAATACAATGGTCGAAACAATGGTAATAATAATAATAATAATAATAATAATAATAATAATATATGCATGTATGATAAGTGATTATTTTCATCATTTTTCCGATTAAACTTGTTCGAGCATTATTATAGCAGTAGGTAAATATTAAATTAATAAAGAAAATTATTGAGAATAGGAAAATTGAATGAAAGAAAATAAAACAATACTGCATGTTGTTTGCTTTTGTTATTGGAAATTTTAATATTTTAGATAATAGTGCCTATCGATTATTAGTTTCCAATGAAACACTGGGCGAGCAATCTTTGAGCATTGTGCGAAGTCGTAGAATCTCTTTTGATGCTGCTGCCAAATCTGATTGTAATTGTAATTCTTTTTCACGCAATCGTTTGATGTCCCTTTGACAAGTCTGGAAGTGAAAAATCATTAAATAAGTGCGGCAAATAAATACTAATTGGGTTAATATCAATATAATGATAAATACAATTTCCACCTACCACATTCTGCCTGAGTAAATCAAGTTTGTCACACTTGAGCCTAGTAACTTGTTGTTTCAAATGTTCTGTTTCGTTAATGCCATTTTTATTGCATCTAACTTCATGAGTTTCAGCGGAACTCATTGATTCGAGTCCAGTATCACTGTCAGGATAAAGAATTTGTTCTAGTTCCAATTCACTATTCAAGGAGCTATCATCACTCTCTGAGACACCTCTTGGGATTGTGTTATCAGATTTTTCAAATTTTTCATTGCGTTTTTTCCAGTTGTCTTGTGTTATTCGTAAGGTTTTATCATTAATTTTGCCAGCAGCTTTGATGGATTCAATATTTGCCTGAATTACTAATTCTTCTTCTACTACTACAACTTGTTGTTCTTCTTTTTCTACTTCTTCTTCTTCTTCTTCTTCTTCTTCTTCTTCTTCTTCTTCTTCTTCTTCTTCTTCTCCCCTTTCAATACCATCTTTAGAGTTCTGCTCATTGCTTGTTACATTTAATAGATTACTTTGTTGCTTACGTGTGTTGTCATTTTCTTGTTGAAAATCCGAAGCTAATATTGAATCTGACAATCCTAAAGGGCTTGAGGGCTCAATGAATAGTTTTGCCAACGATTTCGATGTAGACTGACGATTATTTAATTGACCGGTGATCTCGGATTGACTCTTTTTTGTTAATTGTTGAGGTACAGATTCTGTTGAGGCATTTTTCACACGTGAAGTGAGAGCCTTCCGAACTGTATCTATGAATCTGGAACCACTCCCTCCACCACCACTAGCCGAGCCCGAAGTATCGCTTGCTGAGGGACTCAATGGACATGTTCCTCCGCTTGATCCTAATCCAATAGCAGAGCCTAAAAAATCACTCGTCTTGGATTGCAGTTCTTCAGTGAGAGATTCCAATAGCGCAGATCGTGTTCTTAACTCGAGTTTGGCAAATTTTTCCGCCTTGTAAGCCGCATTTTCAGCATTTATGAGTTTAGTGAGCAGAAATTCCTTAAATTCAACACCCTTGGCAAATATTGCTGGTATTGGTAATGCTGGACCAAACCACGGAACATCGTCACGAGCAGTAATGCTCACTTTATATCTAGTATTACATGTACACGGATCAATGACCTGTACAACAATGAATGCATGGAGAAAATGACTAGCGATCATGTCTGGGCTAAAGGGCGTTGGTTCCTCTTGAAATATTATTGCCACGATATCGTTTCCAATGTGCCGTTTACGTTGTAACTGCTGAGCATCGCCAGGACTATATGGTAAAAGAGATGCCACATGAAAGAGTACTTCCCGGCCACGGAATACTTCATAAACTGCTGAATCACCTGTCTGGCCGTGTTGTGTATCAAGACCACCTCGATACCTTAATTAATCGGTAAACAATTAATCTACTTGCTTGAATCAAATTGCTAGATTCATTAATTATTCAATTGATTTTCTTTTGCTTTTTCTTTTTAAAATAACTAACCCTTTATGATCTCTGAGATCAATTGTTTGTCCCAAAAGATCCAAGAATTCTTGGAAGGCCGGTGTTATTTGTCGATTACTGAATAGCTGTTCTTCAGTAACCTGTCCTGCTCTCTGATGTAGTACTCCAAATTTAAATCTGCTAACTAGAGCATGTTCATCGTATCTCGCTATTAGACTTCCTGCTCCAGAGCAAACGACTGGTATCAATGTGGTAACACTCAGAGATTCATTGATTACCTGCAACCACAACCACAACCACAACCACAACTACAATAACAATATTATATGGGGATTTGTATAATCATAACCATTTACCTTAATCATTTTGGCAGGTGATATATTTGGACCAAGAACAGCAGTTGCCACGAGTTCATGTGTTGAGCCAGTTCGTAATCGCAAGAGAATTCTCCAATGTTCTTGTCCAGCCACCGTTTCTGCTTTGACTGAGAGGAGTACAGGTCCATTTTCATTATCTCGCCCAACCAGATTTACATGCTCCTGTAACAAACACTCATATTTTATATTTTATACTATCCAATTCCTATTTCACCACTGTTATTCTTCAATTGCCAATTTTAATATTTGCCAACTTTGGCTTGTCTGCGCAAGATAAAGGTATAATTTGCAAGAGACTGAAAACGGTATTAGAAAATGATGAAACAGAAGTTGATACAATCTTCCTTGACGATATGAAGATTTTTTATATACCCCAGAATGAGAGGGGAACGGAGAGAAAAAAAAGCAAGGTTCAATTGTTCTTAGTGGATATTCCACTGAATATCCAGACAATGCACACAAGACATGCATACATTGAACGATCATGGACGAGCGTGAACGGAGAATAGGAAAGGTAGGGTAGAAGAAGAGTATGAGAATTTTCCCACTCCCACGCCTAAATTATTTTTTTTCCTCTTTTTTTTTTCTTATCTTGATGGATTTCTTCCTCTCCAACCCTCCCCTTTTCTCTCTCTCTTTCTCTTCAAGATAAAAAAAATCCAAGAACATTGAATTTTCATTTCAATTGTACGTACAATTTGCCAAGTCAAGTGATTGAAAAAAAAACACCACTTCTCACAAGAGTTGTAGTAACAAATTACCCGTCCAACAAAGAATCGACGATAACATTTGGCCGTATCATCTTGATCGATTCTCGGCTGCCAAGCGGGCTGAGTGGGTAGCATTGCTCTACCAGCAAAATCAAAGCCATGTCGATGATCAGTTCCATCTAGCCAGTATCCCGGTGGTGTTACCACAAGTGGCAACTGCATCTGAGTATCAGTGTTTGCTTGTTTGATTACCGCTTCCATCAAGGCACGTCCCAGGGGTTCATCACTCGTTGGGGTTGTTGAGGACAATGGCGTATTAGGCATTTGTACTGTTGGAGTTGAACTGTGGGATTCATCTCGCAATGTCTGTAAATACAAATACAATCTTACGTTTGTTGTTTTCTAACGGTAAAATTGTCGATTTCACGGCCAATTCATAGGGGAGATGATAATACACACGGGAGACAACTTGAACTGTTCCTGCTCTTATGAAATATCATGATAACCGCATGTTATGCATCTTAAGCATCTTAAGCAAGACGGCCCACGTTTAATAAACAAAAGAAAAAGAATGTCCCATGCTGGAAACAAAAAACATCATCTATTCTCCAAATACTAATGAAAATGAAGTTAGCAATTTTTTAGCGGAGCGTATATGTAATACTTTCCTTTACTGGCTATGAGAAAACTATCATATACTTTTATATATATAAATAGCTTTATATATATATATATAGCTGTGGAATTGAGAGTACCTTTCTCACCTGGGTCATATGTTTTGGGAGTGCCCCAGTATGACCGTTAGCTCTTTGCTGCTGTTGCTGTTGTGGGCCGCCCTCCGATCTAAGATCGTATCTCCATCTCAATACACCCATCATCACTTACGCAGATTTGGTTTTATAAAAACACACTGTATATCATTTAGGTAATGAAACACACCCATGTAAGGGATAATTTTCTGATTGCTAAATTATAAATTGAGAATAAACAACACTGTTAATGATATAAAACAACTTGGAACTTTACCGAAAAAAATTTCACACGCGCTTCTACATGATAATTGAAATCACAAGAAAGACTGTTCAAATTATTCAATTCACTTCATTCTATCGAAAGAATATGTCTTCGGTAGCTGATTAATATGAAGAATCATTCAAAGCTTTTTGTGGAAATGATCAATTATTAATTAAATGAGAGTATGCCCATTGATGATGACCAACAACCACGATATAACACCATTTAAATATTTTAAAATTGTCGACAAATTTGACATATTTTCCTTCATTTTTTTGAATTATAATGCCAAGAAAAAATAGAAGACGAAAAACCTGGAAATTTTTTTTTGTGCTTCACTAGTCTTTGCTTATTGCAGAATGGCAACTTTTGTGAAAATGTGTTTTTTTTTTCACACACAACACTACAAAGTACAACGGCGAAAGAGCAACTGGCGTCGAATTCTACTCGTTGTTTCGATGAGGCTACATATAGCTCTTGGGAATACATTCACTGCAGGCCCTTCTCCCCTACCTTTTTCTATATTTGCCGCGCGCCTCCATCCATACACACCTGGACGGTTACTATGTACCAAACCACGCACACATTGAAATTTCAACACCCAAATGTGGAAAAGTTTGCGACGCCATTGCTCTCTCCATGGTCACTGCAGAAGGTTTTTCTTTTACAAAAAAAAAAATAAAGGCTCGCGAGTTAGATAATCCCCAGGCGAAGAGAGGAGGAGGAACTACTATATGATCGACACCATCTGCCAAAAAATTTAGAAATTTGACATTTGCATGAAAATATCGGCAAAGTTGAGGAAATAAGGATACAATTACCGATGAATTATTGAATCCACTTTGTAGAAAATTAACTTCCTACTAGGTCATACTTATTGTCAAATTTCTAATTTTCTTGAAAAAGAAGAAACAAACAATAATAATCATATCTATGTCAATTTGTAAAAACTATTTCCCATGGAAGGAATAATCAGCAATACTCGTAGTCTTACACACCCTGAGAATCTTGAACATGTAGAACTTACGAGGGGGAGGAGAGTTAAAATATTTATAGCAAAAGAAAGTAAATTAAATAATTGGGCGGAATGTCAATAGATTCTTTCAATGGTTAAATTCATCAGTTGGAAACTTGAAGATTTTCTCGCGCTTAAAACTTAAAAAATATATATTTCAACAAAGTTGTTATTCGCTTGGTGTACACAGAATGTAACGGATGTCGTTTCGTGGTCGACTTATTTCACTCGTATATGCGCCACTGGTTTTCCCGTTCCTTTGTACCATGTCTGGTCTCCCTTAACCGCCATCTCCTCCCATTACTATCGTTCCATTTCCTGCCTACACGAGCCAAAGTCGTCATTCCAAACCGAAATAATAAAATTAAAAAGTAATTGGACGCGAACCCCATAACTTTTAGAGGTTTGATCTTGAATTTTTTTAGTGGTGAGCGTGAGCATCAGTAATAGCTATTATAGCTATAGCAATACATAAGTCAACATGCACATGTCTATATGATGATGAATATTAAGAATTAATATCGTTCCAAGTGCATGAACAATGATAATGACTCTCAACTGCTGAAATCACTTTGCCTGCTTTTTCTACGACATGATGGTTTTCCATCAGAAACTAAGAAACTAAGTAGGTTCAATTCATGAGAATGGACATACACAAATGTCAACACTCGTAGTAAATGTGTGTGTGTGTGAGAGTCTCACCTGGCTGCAATGGGCCGGTAATACGCAGCGTTGATCATCAAGTCTGGAACTCTGCACTTTCGCCAATAATTCAAACAGATCCTGTGTAGTACTCTGTATAGTACAAGACATTACTGAACGTTAAATCAACTGAAATTGGAATAATTAAAAAGAAGTAGTCCCTGAACAACTCACCTTCACGGTATCATCAAGACCATCGTCGCTTGCCTGCTCCACTGGAGATTTCTTTGGGCCAGTTTCGCAAAAGATTGACTGCGCAAGTTGTTGCTTTCTGTAACAACATTTTTTATGCTATTACTAAATCTCTGATATAATATCAACAGCATTAGAATATATACATCGCTTCCACATCAATTTACTGCAACAGGTTTTTACAACAATAAATTCAAGATAGTGGTGTATAGTGATGATAATCCCAATAATAATAAAAGATTCGAGGAAGTGCAACAATTCATTCCACACTCAAGTAAAGATATTATCGGTAAGTCAGCAGTATCATGGTATTTTACCAACTGTGACTGTGACTAACCGACAGATTGCGCCATACATTTGTGGTAATGAACAAATGCAATTTGCTTTGACATGTATACAGTTTAAATTTCGGTTTGCTCGACAAAACACACACACATACAAAGAACATTAAATAATAATTTTTTTTTTGAAATATTTCATTCAATTCTCGTTAAAGTAATGAAAATTTTCGACTATTTTTGGCCAAAAGACTATAGGTCAAATGTGTGTATGCAGTCAATCAGTAATATTTATATGGACATTGGATTGTATTTACTTAGTAAGTAAATGCTTGAAAGTGTTTTGAAATAAGTAATGTGTAACGAATTATCTTTTCACGTCGATTTTTTTTTTAAATTTTCCATTCATCTCATTAATTCTGCAAATTTTTCAATCTGTGTTGGGTTTGAGGCCAACATTGTGCAGCATATATATGTATGACCAACATATCACACCGGATATACGTGTTGCGTACGCGTCGCCATATACAGATTTCAATAGGGGCCATGAATAGAGAGGAAAAGGACGTCCCACTTGTCGTAAAGTATGTGTGTATTTTGCCACCACAAACTTCTTGGTGAATAAATTCAAAATCGAAATATAATAATGAGTAGATGATTCTCTCAAATCTTGTATGATATTTTGTATTTTCGTGATTCTCTGACTTAAAAATAAAAATGGAATTTGAAAATTTTCAAATTCAATTGGACTTTAATGAAACTGTATTTGTCCCTTTAAAAAATAAAACAATAAAAGGCGTTTCCACTTGGGATTTTTTAAAATTTGAAAATGTTTCTTGAATATATAATATATTATTTTTCATTGGCAGCATTCATTGTAATCACTGTAAATGATTGAGTTGTAATATTTACCGTTTTTTAGAAAGCAGTGTATAGGACTCTTTAGAAGTCGTAGAGAATCTCATTCGCATCTTGTGAATACGTTCACTAGTTCGCTTCTTTGCGACACCACCTTCAAGCACTGGCATTCAGATTGTTTTATCACGTTTCTTGTATCGCTATAAACGAATAATGGTCGCGCAGCAACTTCATGGAACCAAAATAAGAAATACTACAAGAAAATTTAAATCCACACGAAGAGAAACAAATATTTTTTCAGTTGTTGAGTAATCGATGATGATAAAAACAATAAAAATTTTCAGACAAGTTGATTTACATCCTCTTCTTCATAATTCTTTATAATATTGAACACATATGATTAAAAATATGTCACAAAATTCATGAATCAACAAAATTTCCCATTGGATTGAGCACATTAACTTTATTCGCAACACTTGACCTCGTTTTTTTCCTACTTCTATTGTCATAAGAAGAAATAAGTAGTTTTATGTAGAGCAGAGTTGGATGTTGATGAATGGATACGTCAATGGGGAATGGAAAGCGAATGGTTTGCAAGTACGATATAGCAGGCAATAAGTGTATGTTGAATAAAATACACATTGAAAGTGGAGAGGGACGTCGCGTGCACTCGCGCGCAATTACAGTACATGTGTGACCTAAAACGTGTATCATTGCTCACTGAAAGACTGAGATCTGAGTGCTAGCACCGGAAAGTACGAGGAAGTATTCAACGAAACACACGACAAATAGAAAACCCTATATGTGGAGAAGGGGCCGACTGTGCGACGAGAAGTGAGGGATCGTCCAGTCTACAAATTTTTTTCATCTCGCCCCCCAGGCCACCATTTGAAATTAAAAACCCAGAGCTCCCCCCACTTATCTGACGCATGGACTGATTAGTTGATTGAGACTATACCTCTATGAGATGCAACCTCAAGAGCCAATTTATACCAACCATTGATGAGAATCTGTAGTATTTATTTAATTGATTGAATATATAGTTGAAGCAATTGACATTCGTTAACGAATAAATCTCTTTCTGGGATTATTCTTCAATGTAAATTAAAATTAAATATTATCTATTTTTCTTGGGGTATTTCGGCTTTGTCGCGATTGACTAATCATGAATTATATAATAGAAAAACAACAATAAATATATATATATATATGTATACATATATATATATGTACATATAAAATTATTATAAAAATTTATTCGAGTACTTTTTTACACTGGCAGGATGGTATTAAAAAAAAAAAACAGGGTCAATGATTTCTTCGCTGTTCCAATATCTGAAACAAGAGGAGGAGAGAAAAATGTTGCATTAATTGAGAAAATGAAAATGAAAATGACAAAAAAAGTAGTGTTACCTCAGTAAGTTTTCGCCATTCGGAATCTTCAAGACTCTGCTTGATTTTCAAGAGAATATTTGGTGGAATATCCGGTGGAGTAATAGATGCATTTTTAGCCATAGAAATATATTGAATCTGTAGCAATTGATCGACCGAGGGTCTCGCCTTGGGATCGTGTTGAAGGCACTTTTTGATGACATCAATTAGAATGGCAGGAACTGCTTCGACATGAGGTGGTAAAGAAAATGAAATTTTAGGGTTTGGATTAGTTATAGCGTTGATTTTAGCCCATTGCGGACGAATACTGTGAAATGGAGTATTCCCATACACTAGACTGTACAATATGCATCCGAGAGACCAAACATCCGATTTGTAACTAATTTTGTATTTAGTATTTTGATGAGGAGAGTCCCCGCCACCTCCAACATCCATAAGTGCTTCAGGACTTATGTAATTCAAAGTTCCAACTGTTGTACTTTTAACAATGGATGTCATTTCTGCATTTAAAGTTGAAGATATACCAAAATCAATTAATTTAAGTCTTCCTCGAACGAGTAAAAAATTTGCTGGTTTCAAGTCTGAGTGAATGACTCCATTATCATGAATATGTTTAACTGCTGTCAACATTTCTGTCCAATAATAAAGAATCATTGTTAGAGGAAGTCTTCTGTTTTCAGTTGCTACTGATTTGAGAAATCTACTGAGATCCGTATCACCCATTTCCATAACTACATAAATTGATTGATTTTTCACTTCATGGTCATACATTGTTACTACACTCGGTGCTTGAAGTTTGTTCAACATTTTTATTTCGTTCAAACAGCTTTGCGCACTGTCATGATCCATTCGCGCTAAATTCACATATTTGACAGCTTTAAGTTCAAAATTGGAAAGATCTTGAACTCTATAAACCTCTCCACTCATTCCCTGGCCCAAAGTTCCAAGAATTATGTACTCTTTTCCTTTGATAGACATTTTTTTTCCATAATGTGTTGTCCCAACAGCCGGTGTAGTAGCAATAGAAATAGGCTGAAATGGCTGATTATCAAGTTGTTTCAATGGTAGAGTTGGTTTAATAACTGGGCAATTATTTTTCTTCTCATTGAAATGAAAATCCCGTGAAGATTGCTGCTGCTGCTGTTGATCAGGCTTCATTTTTACTGGCAATTCAAAAGGACCGACTGTACCCATATTTTCTTTCAATTCATAATTTACAGCTGGAACTCTACTTTCCAAGCAGGTTTTTTGTTTTACTGGATTATTATCATTATGTGAAAAATTAGTAGGATTTTGTTGTTGTTGTTGTTGTTCTGATGCCATTGTTTCTTCCAGTGGTCGTCTTACTCGTTTTTCACAATTTTTAACTTTCCAAGGTATTTCATTATTTGGCATTACTGATTTTCCAGGTGTCTCAATGTCAGGCTCAATCTTATTCTGCAATGAGGTGTGCATTGTATTGCCATGTTTCCAGGTTGCAAATATAGAAGCTGGCGTTTGTTCATGATTCGTTGAAAAATCACTTGTTTTTCCCTGCGGTGTTTGAAACATATTTCTACGTGAAGTTGATGATATTGGTCTCATACTTCCAGCTGTAGAATGCAATTTCAATGGAGTTCCTGGAGCATTGGTAATTCCTGAGTCAGCTACATTTGTGGAATTAATTTGTTGGGAAAATCCATTGGGGAAAATGCCAGCATCTGATTTATAAGAAATAACTCCGTGAATATGTTTATCAGTCATTGAATGTGTGTGAATATCTTTACCTTCATTTCTAGTTATATTGTGTTGTTTGATGATATTGCCACACGATGAGGCCATAGAAACTGCCATTTCACATTTCAATGATGCTGATTTATTATTATTATTGGATTGTGCTATTTTCATAAATGACACATTTGATTCTTCCTGGACTTGTGATATTTCGGGACACGAAATAATTCCGGCTCTCAATCCTTCAATTTTTATTTTACCGAAATCAGATGTAAATTCATTGATGGGTTGAGATCTTCTGGTCATTTTCGTCTGCTCGTGATTGTGATTTTCTGAATGTAACGGCTCTTTAGATGTTGAGGCCCTTCTGTTGGTTTTTTCATTGGTATAATTTTTCCAATTGAAATTTGAATCAGAAATCACAGCAGGCAAGTTGGACAATTTTCTCGATGTATTTGATGTAAGTTCTTGTCCATTGACAAATTTTTCCAGCTTATCGTTTGGAACTAATGCCTGACACTCGTCCAACTCATTTTCTTCCTCTGAATCGTCATTTTTATTATTGTCAGAATCATCATCCTCGTTCTCATACATATCCAACATGTCTTTTATCCTCATGGGTTGGAGAATTTGTTTTTTATGACAATATTCTGAATTATCACTGAGGCTGTGTCTTGGATCCAAGCAACTTTCACTCATTTCTCCGCTCATTTTGTGCGATTTATTTATATTAATCAAGCCAAAAATAAATATTAAAATCACTAATTATTACTTTTTCTATTATTCTTTTGTCTTTTGTCACTCAGATCAAATGCAATCTCCTCTCCCATTTGTCATATTCCAACCTCACTTTTTTAACCGCCAACTTTATTTTCTCCTGCTTATTTTGTCGTTATAGCTCCAAATACAAAACTATCTTCATTGAAATTATACCAGAAAACGTAGATACACACGACTATATTATTATTGAAATTGGAATGTTTGAAAAATTGAAACTTATCAATGAAATCTTCAATCAATGGAACAATTTCAGTATTTTACATATAAATTAATATATATATATATATATAT